CACAACAAGCCCACACCGCAAAATTGCCCAAAACACGTACATGGAATTTGCAACTATATAACCAACATGATATTGCCCAACACACATAATGTAATACAACATTTATAGCCACCATGATATTCCAGTAGTGCACGCGGAGTAGAAATAGCAGCCCAAAGGAAAACTGAGCTGCCCAGGCACCACACGAGTACCAATTGAGCCAATATGATGCGTCGGTTGTGAGAAAATTCTAATGTAGGTCGTGGTCGTTGGTAGGTGTGTCGGTGGTCGTCGTGTGGTCGTTGGTGCCGGTGCTGCAATGTACGCTCCTGGATACGTGCCATAGCCAGCACCATGGCGATCCATGTGGTGGTTGTTCTGCAAGTGACGTCTTCCGTCGGCCAGCCCAGCCGTCGTGTGAGGTCCGCCGTCGGTGTCGTGATGCCTCGCCGCAGGTCGGCGTTGGCTGTGCATACCCAGTACATGTGGTAGAGCGTCGGAACGTGCTGTTCCCCGCAGTGGTCGCACGTGGTTGAGACCTCCTCCCCCTGGTTGGACTCCAGCAGTGCGTCGGAGACCACACAGCCGCACAACACTGCGGCGATGTGGGCGGCGAGGGTCGGGTTGTTCTTCCGCGCCTCCTGTGCCGCGCGGGCGGCGGCAGCCGGGAAGGGCACTCCGGCTGCCATGGGGCTCTCCCGTCGGCTCCGTCCCTGGAGGATGGCCCATTCATGGGGTCGGAGTATCAGCCGTAGCTCGTGTAGTTGTCGGTCTGTTCTGTCGGTGAGGCGCACCTCCCCCCGTGGGCCTCTCCAGAAGCCGTCGTCACCGCACCTCGTTGCTCCCAAGGAAGACAGGTGGGCACGACAGGCGTTGAGTGGCCCCTTTGTGTCGGTATTGATAGTGATTCTGTCCCAGAAAGCAAGTGCTCCTGGTTCCTGCCGTCGTAGTGCTCGTCGGCACAGATGGTAGCGCAACTCAGTACTGTGCCCCATCACAACCAGTCGTAAAAGTTCGGGAGCTGCTCGTGGCCATTTCCGTAGTGTCACGGCCTTCTGTGCTCGTTGTAGGTGTTCTTGGATAGCAGTCTTTGTCGGCGGCGTGACAACGAGTGCCCAGCTCGACACTGGCAGCGCAATGGTTGCCACCGCAATCGTGCGCAGCCGCATGCTCAGGGGTAGACACGCAATCCGTCTCATGCGCGCAAGCGCCTCCTCTATTTTGCCTCGCTCCCGGCTTGTGAGCGTGGCCCTCTGCATGGTGAAGTCGATACCAAGGCATTTCATCCTTTTGCCCTGCAAGTGGTGGTTGTCGCACTGGTGCGGAAGGATTGTGAAAGCCTGGTTTTTGCTGGTGTTGGTACGCAGCGCGGTGACGGACTCCAGCATGTCCCATTTCTCCTCGATGCTCCGTAGTTCGTCCTCGGTGGTCGTGGCCGCCATGCGGTCGTCTGCAGAGGTGCAGAAGGTTGCTCGTGGGTGCAGTGCAGCTTGGCGTCGTAGAGGCCCCATGAGCATGGTGGCGCATGGTGGCCATCCCGAGCATTGCGGTAGGGTCCCCGTGAGATAGACTGTGCTGGACGCTGATCGTGCGCGGTGAGAGAAGCTGCCCCATCTCAATCCACCGCTCTTGTCGCGTCCAGATTTGCACGATGCTGTCGGCGATCTTGGTCGGCACCCTAAGTCGCTCCCAAATCTCGCCCACGATCCTCGGAGAAACCCGGTCGAAAGCAGAAACGTAGTCCCACGATTTGACGTGAAGCTCGGTTTGTCTTTCTTCGCAGCAAGCGTCGCTCTTCCCCCGTGAGGTCACCGTGGTCGCCGTCTCTGTCGCCGTTGCGGTTTGCTGCGGTAGTCTCCTCAATGAGCGAAAGGCAAGGCTCACTGAGGGACTCGAGGGTTCTCCCTTTGAGTCCGCCTCCCTGCGTGGGCAGGAAGGCGGGGCTGAGGTAGGTGGCCATTTGGTCTGCCCTCCACCTGTGCCAGGCGCGGACCACAGCTCTCGCGATTGCGATTGGGCGTAGTCGTGTCAGGCTCGGGAGCGCTGTGTCATGGTCTTTCGGTCGGTGGGTCTGGCGCCACTGCAGCAGTTGCGTAGGCCATCCGTGCTCCTCGGCGTAGACGCAGAGGTCCACCAACTCCTCCAGTGCCTCTTCTGGGAGAAGCATAAGCTCCGAGGGAACCCATTGGTCTGGTTCTGCTGCCGTGCCCCCTTGTAACATGCGGCGGAACTGCGGCGCCGCCGGCGGTGCCCAGTGGTCAAAGGTGCCAAGGGTTGCCATTGCGTGTCGTGCCCAGTGGTCGCGCTGCCCTTGCTCGTGTTGGACTTCTTGTCGTGCCTTCTCGATGTAGTCGTCGTAGTGGTAGAAGTAACCGTCCGTGTCGTTGCCTTGTCCACAAGCCGTGAAATGCTTCTCGTAGTCAGAGGAGTTGGTGGGCGTGGTGTCGTTTTCGTCGTGGTCGTGCTTGGTGTCGTCCTGCACAGCTGCGTTATGGTACGTGCTGACTACGTTACGGATCCAGGCCGCCGAGGTCTTCCCAAGTCCGTCGGCCTGTAGACGTTTTCTCCAGCATTTGGCGCGTTCGTTCTTGCACCACTTGATGGACGTAGCGAGCGCCTTTTCCGCCTGCTCTGTTGCTGCTGGCTCCGAGTCCGGCTTGTCGCCACCCATACAGAGCACCACAGCCTGTGATTTATCTTCGCCCACTTCGCTAGGTCCCCGGCCGCCTCCCTCGCCGTGCCGGCGGGGTCCAGAGCCGTTGGATTAGTAGGCGTGACTGCCGCGTGTGCTTGGTCCACACGTCATCGTCTTGTTCTCTCTTTTGCCACGTTGCGAAAGAGAGGTCGGATTTTGGGACTGTGCCCTGGGTCAAGACTACCGTCGCCTGGGATTGTAGCACTGCCTCTGCTCGCGCACTCCAGTCGGTCCACCATTCGTCGATGGTGCCCCCGTGGATATCGTTGGCGGGCAGGGCGCGCCAATGTGCAGTCAAACCCTCCACGGTGTCCCCATCGGTCGTTGCTCGTTCGTGGGTCGCTCGGAGGTCGTGGGCCGCTTGGGCCCTCGAGCGGTCGTGCTGCGTCGACATGTGGTTCCGATGTGTTGCGTGCTGGCTGGTTGTGTTGCTGCGTCGTGCTGCTGGTGTTGTCTGCGTCATGCTGCTGCGTCGTGCTGATGCTGCTGCGTCGTGCTGCTGTTGCTGCGTCGTGCTGCTGCGTCGTGCTGTCGCTGCTGCTGCAGCGTCGTGCGGTTGTTGTCGCTCGTGCTGCGTCGCTGGTCTGCTCTCGGTTTGCGTCGTAGTCGTGGTTGTGCTGCCTTGGGCGTCGCTTCGTGCTTCGTCTTGGTCGGGTTTCCGCTTGCCGTAGCGTGCTGCCCGCAACCAGGAGCATCCAGCAGTAGGTTGTGGAGCGTCGAACTGCACACCCATTGTTACCAGCTTGTGGTCGGAAAGCGTATGGGTGTTCGCAACAGACCCTGACGTTGTCATAGCTGTCGTAACCATGAAGTCATCGATTTACCGGTTGGAGCCCCATCTCGTGGACTCGCCTGGGCCTTGCACCCGGAGCCCGAAAAACCGCGCAGTCTCCGCAATGATGGGATCTCTGGGCGTGGTGTTGTAATCCCCTGCGATGAGCAGAGGGATCCGCCCTCCCATCGCAGCGTGTTGCTCAGCCACCCACTGTAGCAAACCATTCTGTGCATCGTCGTCGTCTGCCGCCCGCAAGTGTACCACAGCCAACAATGCCGTGCGATGAGCGGTGTGAATGTGAAAAATTGCACCCTCACCTCCAGCCTCGAAGCCGCTGGTCCCAGTCCGCCGTTCCCAAGCAACCCGCGTGACCCGTACACGGCCCATCGTTAGCACGCAGATGCCTCCACATTCGTCCCGTATTCGTCCACTCCTCCCGGTCCCCACCACATCATCGTCGCAAGAGGTCCTTGTTGTCCATACGTAACCGTGCTCTGCGGCAAGCCTACTCACCTGGCCCAGATCTGCACGTCGACACCCGTGTTCTTGCACTGCAAGCAACTCCAAGCCCAATTCTTCGGCCGTGCCAAGGAGATCTTTACCGTGTTGTGTCCACGAGGCAATATTGATTGTTCCCATTGTAACTGGAATCGTGTTCGCGCCACCCCTTTGGACTCTGGATGGCGATAGGTACCCCACAGGAGGAAAGGAGGGGGAATGAGGAGGAGGAGGGGGAGGAGGAGGGGGAGGAGGAGGAGGAGGAGGAGGAGGAGGAGAGGGCGTGGGAATGGTCGGTGCAGTCGTTTCCGCCTCAGCAGCGGCCAGCTGCTCTCGCTGCCCTCCTCCGGCGGAGCGTCTCCTCGCGAGGCCGGGCCTGGTGGGCTGGCAGCGGCGGTAAGACGACTGGGCTCTTAGCCCGCTTGTCCCGCTGGCGTCGTGGATCCAGCATTAGGGGGCCACATGCGAACCCTGCCCCTAACCCCCACGACTTCTGAGGGGGAGGGTGGGGTAGGGTTCGCATGTGGCCCCATTAGCATGCCGCCGGGAGATTTCTTCAGCATAGTGAAACGCCGTCCCATGCACCGCCACTGTTGGTCGTCGTACTCGGGGTGCTCTTGTAATCGGCGTTCTCGTCGTATGTTCTTGTACGTAATGGTATTTCGTGACACCGGTTGTCGGATGTAGTATACAGGACATGTCCAACCAATATTGTCGTCATGTATGTCGTGGGATAGAGCATGTACCTCCACGCTGGGTCGATAGTTGCCTGTGTCCTGCCAATTTTCTCCTTGATGCCATTTCCATAAGTGCTTCGCTCGCTCATGAGTAATATGGTAATTTGGATGAACCTTCCGTGCCTGCCTGATCTGCTTCTTCTCGTTGCCCTTCCACGACCACCCAACGGCATGGGCAACGGTGTTGACAGGAGCTGCGATCGTGTCGCCGCACAACCCACATGTCCACGTCAGCCGTTCAGCATGGTCGGTGCACGTGAGGCTTTTTTGGGATGGGAGTGCACCTTGTGGTTTTCTGGTGCTGCTGTTGGCGCTGCTAGTCTGTGCCTTCGGCGTCTCCATGGTAGTCGCTGACCCCGTCGGGATGTCGCGCCGATTCGGCGTAGGTTTGGGCGTGGCCGTGGTTGCACTCCGTGTGCTCCGCGGTGCTGCAGGTGTTGGTCGTCGTGTGGTGCGCGGGGTCGTTGTGGGCCCCAGCTCACCAAGCCACGAGTCGGGCGTGTCGGGTTGCTTTCGCTTTCTCGAAGACCGTGTCCGGGCCAAATTCGCCATCCAGGAGTCCTCGGAGTCGGATTCAGCATCAGCCTTCCTGGACGAGCCACCGTGTCGGCAGGCTTTCTGGATGCGCTCCTCGATCTGCTGCTTGTTCGGCCTTTTGGTCTCCTTCTTGTGCCTCTCGCCGTCGTCTGGTAACAAAATGTAGCAATGGTCCCTCCAGAGGCCCACATGGAGTGCAGGTTGCAGCAACGCCGCTCGTTGAGCGTCTGGGCCCGTCGGGAACCAAGTCACCTTGTCGACCCAGTTCACCTCCTTCAGCTCATTACCCACCCCTGTGTAGGTGTAGATGTGTCGGTTGAAGTGGTCGCTGGCGGCCATGACAGCCCGTCGATCCACCGCTTCGGTCTCTTCCATGCTTTCACGTATTCTTCCCACGTGGTCGGGATGTCTCCGTCTTCTCTGTCAGGCCGCATAGGCACGTGCGTCCAAAAATCTTCGAAGCACGCCCTGTGGCTGTCGATGCGCAGGGCCAGTTGCGCCCGCAAGGTCTTCGCCATCCTCTCGAGCTTGGCTGGTTGCAGTGTGGTCTCCCGGTTGGCCTTGGCGACGCCTCCGAGCAACGCCCAACCGGCAGCCAGCGCCCTATAACCGCAATCACCTCCGTTCGAGCCCGGGTCGATGGCCTCGAAGGGGGTCTTCCGCTTGGGCGGCGGCTTCCTGCAGGCGCAACCGCTGGCTCAACAGCAGGCGCAGCCTTTCCAGGTCCGACCCCAGGGGCCGCAGGCGCCACATTAGGCCCTGCCGGCGCAGAAGCCGGTGGCTGGGCCCGTGCTTTCTTGATTTTGTCCCGAGCTGCATTGTCCTCCGCCTCCCTGGCGGCTGTCCTCTTGGCCCGCTCGGTTTCCTGGGCCTCCTCAGCAAGCCCGTCAAGATCCATGTCCTCCTGCTCGTACCGCTTCTGTCTCTGCTGCTTGTCGGCAATGTAGTCGGCGTCTAAGTCAACGTCCATGTCGTGAACCCCTGGGACGGCCATGTCGTCGGCTGTGGTTGGTGGAGCGGGCGGGTCGGCACCCCACCGCCACCGCTTGGTCGTTGTAGGCTTCGTCGTTTGGCCTCCTGAGCCGCGCACGAAGTGTTGGATCTGAATGGATTGGTCTTGTCCCTTGAGCTTGATAGCCCGCGCGTCGATTGCCAAATCGCCGTTAGGGCGGCGTGGCTGTGCACGGACGACCCACGGCCCATTCCTGGTCTGTGGCGGCGACTCTACCTCCACATTGTTCCAACCAGCTGCTCGTAGCCAAGATTTTAGCTCGTGCGCCGTCCAAGCCCGAGGGATGTGGAGGATGCGCCATGCTGATGGCCGGGCCGCCACCGCCATAGCGTCATCCACGTCAACTCCCACAACGCCGAGGTTGTTGCCCCCGCCGTTTCGCAAGACCATGCATGCATTGCTTGAGGATGCCACCAGACCGCGGACCCTGCTGAAGTAGTCGATGCTGTTGTCGTCGAAGCGCTTGATCCACTTGACGGGCGCGTCGGGGCTCTAGCGCTCCTTGGCAAGCACTCGGAAGAATCGTCCATGGGCTCCGCTGGCGGCCAAGACTGGGTGCAACCCCGCCGTGGCCACTGTGAGATACCCCGTCACCGCCACCAGTTTTCCAGCCTGCAGAACCTCCGAGAAGGCTTCTGCCGCCATGATGGCGTCTTTGTCGAGATCGCCAGTGGCCACGGCTCCTGGCCTCTGGCGCGCCGCCTTCCACTGCGCGTCCGTCATGAACTCCTTGACCATCGTCACCCGCACCGTAGTAGTAGCACGGACGTCTGGTGGTTCAAGCCCTTCCAACTCGTACTTCGGAGCATCGGCCTTGGCTCCCTGGAGGTTGGTGCATTCCAGCTTCTTCATGCTCGGCCGACCCCCCTTGACAACCGCGACCCATTGGGATGTGTCACCGTCGTTGGCTGCCGCTGTGTGGTCGTTGGTAGGTGTGTCGGACACAATCACAGTCGTGTCCTTTTGAACTCCGTGTGCTTGGGCAAGCTCCACCGCCTCCTGTTTCTGGGCCGCGTCCAACACGACAACATCACCGTCTGGATCCCGGCCATCTCGGAGGGTGGCCAGGACCTGCGTAGCCCCTGAGAACTGTTTTCCAGGGAATCGTCGTTCGTCCACTTTCCACCTCCGGGTGGGAACCAGCTGGTTAGGATCAATGGTGGGGCTCTAATTCGCCGCCTGATTTCTCCATCGCCCTCTGCGCGGTGGTGTAGTCGTAGCTTGGTTGGTCTTCCTGGCGGCGAGGAGCTCCTCGAGTCGGTCCAGGATACTTCGTCGCTGATGTTCTTGGGTGCTTTTGCCACCGCTTGCTGCAGGACGGACCAAAGGCTACTGATAGTGGTAGATGCTTGTGCTGGTGCTGTCGTCGGTGGTGCTGGTTGTGCTGCTGATCCGTGGATCTTCTTCTTCCTCTTTCTCTTAGTGGGTGGTCTCACGCTGCCCAAGATTGCGCTGACGATGGACGCGATCTGTTTCTCCTTGCGTTGTCTTTCGGTGGCCCGACTGCCCCCTTGACCCCCGCCGCTGGCACGTAGGTCAAGACGTCCGTCATGCAGAGAGTAGGATGCCCCTCCACATTGGGTAGACGGTAGCTCATCCATCGCAGCGGTCCCAAAATACATCGCGGCAACGCCAAGATTAGAAACACAATGTATTGATACCGCCGAGTCAAGATCAGGAGACAGTCGAATCACATTGCCGTCCCGATCCTCCTCCCAGATCTCATGAGCAAAGTCCCCGTCCGCATCGACATGCATCAAATCGTCATCGAACCATCGGGAGTCGCAATGATGAGTGGTTGTGCTGGTGTCGGTCTACTGACGTGCTGCGTCTCAAGGATGCTCGTAGCGCGTCGTCGTGTGGATGCACGTGCTGCGTCGTCGTATGAATGTTTTTGCTGGTGCTGCTATTGCTGCTGGTGTTGCTGGTGCTGCTTATGCTGGTGCTGCTGGTGTTGCTGGTGTTGCAGGTGCTGCTGGTGTCGACGTCGTGTGCTGCGATGCTGCGTCGTCGTCGTCGTGTGCTGCTGCTGGTGCTGGTGGTGTTGCTGGTGTTGCTGGTGCTGCGTCGTTGTGCTAGTCATGCTGAGTTGTGGGGCTGCTCGTGTTACCTTGCCGTACTGCTCGTACGGCGTGGTAGGATTGCCATCGTCTCGAACACCGCTGTAGTCGATCTCGCCCTCACCGTACTCCTGCTGGAGCTGGTGTCCGAACCTCGGGCGGAGTTGCCGCCTCAATCGTCGTAGTTGTTTTGGTCGGCGACGGGCGTGTTCTCCGACTCCATGGGCAGGAACTCCCCCATCGGAGATGGCATCCTCGGAGGCGGCACCTGGTGGCAGAGTTTTTGCTTCGAAGTCGTAGTCCTGGTCACCTGAAGGCAGAGTTTTTACTTCGAAGTCGTAGTCCTGGTCGCAGGGGCGGTCCTGAGAAGATATTTTGACCCTCAGGCAACCCCAAAGTATTAGAGACAGTGTCAGTAGCAAGTAGGTGAAACTCGTAGTGGTGTACATGCTGGTGACCAGAAGGGTGGCCCAGCATACCCTGGTCGTAGGATGTGTAATCGCTTCGAAGATCGGGAATAGGATACAGTATACCATAGCAAACCATGGTTCGTAGTACAGCATGTAAGTAGTGATTCTGATCTGGCTACACACTCCAGCGGTGTAACGTGAAACTCTGGACGGCCCGACGGCATGCCGCACGGACCGGGAGGACCCATTTCCTCGGCCGCTTCCGCACCTTCCGCTTCCGTATCCGGCACCTGCCAATCTTCTTAGCCTCCTTCCGGTACCCCGTTGCCGTACTGAGGACCCGGACCTGGAAGCAAGAGTCGATCTTGGACTGGTGTGGCGTTGAACGGGCTCTTATCTTCCCAAGGCCCCCCCGCACGCGCAAAATCACCATCATAATTGAAATAGCTCCCCAAATGTAGTCGTTGGGACACGGAGCAGCATCCCATTCGTGTGCACACATCAAGATATGGTTCCCAGGAGGTGTTGACCGCACCCCATCGACATTTCCGAATTCACAGTATTGAAGTGGCTCTCCCACTGAGCTACTTGTTGCCCCCACCCCAGGAATCAAGCATAGGACCATGCAAGCCCAGAGTGGCGTTGAACTTAACACCCCGTAATGTCTACATACCCGTGCATGAAATAGCAACAACACAAACACAAACACAACCACAATTGAATTCTGCCCAAGATACCCCTCCCCTGCCTGTCTTGTAGATTTCCCACAGTCAGTTGTAGGAGGTGGGTTTGGATGAAGGTTCTGGTGTTGCCTCCTCCCCTCCACCTGATCATGCATGTGCATCACATGCAAAGTTAAGAGAACATAACGCTTGCTAAACCGTATTTGGGCGCCCGGGAGTCGGGAGTCGGGTGAGGACCCGACGTGGACCGTGTTCTCATTCTCCCTCTTGAAGAGGAACAGAAGCGTCATAAACATACTTATTCGGAGGTCCGCACAGAGCGCTTGGGTCGGAGCGCCCCCCTCGGGCTGGGGCGCCCCAGTCCTCATCGCGCGGGGAAAGTCAACATGAACTCGATCGGAATGTCGCTCGTCCTAGCTTCCCACATCATGCTTTCATTCCTGGCTTGTCTAATGATCAATATTCAAAAGAAGTTGAGACTACCCCAGAGTTCCTCGCAAATCTTTGATTGTAATCTGTTTTGCAGTATGAACTCAAGCGGCGTAGAGCTCGTCGCAGCTTCCAACATCAGTTTCATATTGTCTCACCTGTATGTGTTCATTGCGAATGTCGCGCCCAACTCAAGTTTGACTCCGAAACCTGACCTCTGCCTGTACTCTTTTCCAGTTACCCTCTGCCGCATAATCAAACGCTTGCCAGTTTTAGTCGTACTACTGGTGGTGGTTGCACCAGTCGTCGTAGTCGTAGTAGCAGTAGTAGTACTAGTTCGCAGTAGTGGTGGTCGAGTAGTAGTAGTAGTAGTAGTAGTAGTAGTAGTAGTAGTAGTAGTAGTAGTAGTAGTAGTAGTAGTAGTAGTAGTAGTAGTAGTAGTAGTAGTAGTAGTAGTAGAAGTAGTAGTAGTAGTAGTAGTAGTAGTAGTAGTAGTAGTAGTAGTAGTCGTAGTAGTAGTAGTAGTAGTAGTAGTAGTAGTAGTAGTAGTAGTAGTAGAACTCGTAGTAGTAGTAGTAGTAGTAGTAGTAGTAGTTAGTTAGTAGTAGTAGTAGTAGTAGTAGTAATGGTAGTGGTAGTAGTCGTAGTAGTAGTAGTAGTAGTATCTTCTACTATTATTCGTAGTAGTACTAGTACTAGTAGTAGTAGTAGTAGTAGTAGTAGTAGTAGTAGTAGTAGTCGTAGTCGTAGTAGGAGTGGCAGTCGTAGTAGTAGTAGTAGTAGTAGTAGTCGTAGTAGTAGTAGTAGTAGTAGTAGTAGTAGTAGTAGTAGGTACTCGGTACTAGGTAGTAGGTAGTATGTAGTATTATCAGTAGTGGCAGCAGTAGTAGTGATAGTCGTAGTAGTAAAAGCAGAAGTAGTCGCCGTAGTAGTAGTCGTAGTAGGAGTCGTTGCAGTAGTCGTAGTCGTAGTAGTATAGTAGTAGTAGTAGTAGTAGTAGTAGTATAGAAGTAGTAGTAGTAGTAGTAGTAGTAGTAGTAGCAGTATAGTAGTAGTAGTAGTAAGTAGTAGTAGTAGTAATCGT